TACACCTTGTTCTGATAATATCTTTCCTTATTAGGTATAATATGTTCTTATACTAATTGTCCATATTAGGTATCATATGCGTCAGAATTAAGCAACTGCGCCCCCACCTTTGACATGGATTTATCTGATTTTCTGGATGGGGAAGAAGGAATGCCATATGAAAAACCAAGCTGAGTACTTCGCTTCTCTGGAGACACATCCCAAAGGTTTATTACTCCTATATAATCAATTTCTTTCTTCTAATTTAGTAACTTGTCGATTGGATATTCATGTTATACATAGTACTAATTAACTTGAATCCAATTTTAGGTGGCTGCATGAGCGGATTATTACTGCAGGAAAAATTCGGCATGGTACTGTTAGTTGCATACAATCTGCCATTTGTGTTTGTGCGTAGAGACTAGTTCGGTGAAGAACCTTTACCGAATCCAGTCTATCCAGCGAGTACTCGGTTTCCCGGCGGCAGGAAGATAAGAAAGATGGAGGAAAGTTGTATGTGTACCAGCTGCGATACATGGTGGGCTCCAACTTGTTGCCGGTTCCGGGGTATGCGGCGGGCAGTGAACACAACTACCGGAGGTGTTGTGCTGAGGATGAGTTGTACGCTTGAAGGTAGGTGCTCAATTGGGAGTAGGGAGGGAGAGGAGGTAGAGTAGGAAGAGATTCTGATGGTTTAATTTGAGGAATTGCATTAGTAATATAATATATTACTATATAGCCGTTGGAGGCTCCCCATGGACAAAAATACTGGGATGAAGGTAGTAATTTAAATTTGACCCAATAAGCATTAAGCATGTGATTTAATTGGGTGGGGTTCCCATAACATTGGGAGATGGGGATAGCCGACATAGTCCGATTCTTGGATGGTTTTAGGGCAAAGTATCGGATGGAAATGATGTGGGAAGAGATGAGTAAGTGTTATATTTTTAATTATTGTTTTTTTCTTTCTTTTGCAGAGAGGGATTTGAACAGGCCCGTTGATCACTTGGGGTTTGCTTCGGCGACGGCTCTCGAGATCATCCAATCTATTCAGCGAGTACTCGGTTTTCCGACGGCAATGGCATGCATTGGAAGATAAGAAAGACGGAGGAAAGTTGTATGTGTACCAGCTGCGATTCATGGTGGGCTCCAACTTGTTGCCTGTTCCAGGGTATGCGGTGGGCAGTGAATAAAACTACCAGAGTTGTTCTGCTGAGGATGAGTTGTACACTTGAAGGTAGGTGCTGAATTGGAAGTAGGGAGGGAGAGGAGGTAGAGTAGGAAGGGATTCTAATGGTTTGGTTTGAGGAATTGCATGTTGCAGCAGCCAGCATTTGGACCTTTATTAATTATCTGCTTTTTTGAGACCAACACCTTTTGAATTGCATCAATGGAATCCTTACACTTTCCACTTTGCTGTTGATGTTTTTTGTTTTCTGAAGCAAGTGTCTTCTCTTTCAAAATCAAAATAAAAAAGACACTTGCTTCAGAAAACATCAATTGTAAAGTGAAAAGTACAGGGATTCCATTGATGCAAGTCAAAAGGTGTTGGTCTTAAAAAAGCAGATAATTAATAAAGGTCCAAATGCTGGCTGCTGCAACATGCAATTCCTCAAACCAAACCATCAGAATACCTTCCTACTCTACCTCCTCTCCCTCCCTACTCCCAATTCAGCACCTACTTTCAAGCGTACAACTCATCCTCAGCGGAACAACTCCGGTAGTTGTGTTCACTGCCCACTGCATACCCCGGAACCGGCAACAAGTTGGAGCCCACCATGAATCGCAGTTGGTACACATACAACTTTCCTCCGTCTTTCTTATCTTCCAATGCCTGCCACTGCCGCCGGGAAACCGAGTACTCGCTGAATAGATTGGATGATCTCGAGAGCCGTCGCCGAAGCAAACCCCAAGTGATCAACGGGCCTGTTCAAATCCCTCTCTGCAAAAGAAAGAAAAAAACAATTAAATCAATGCACTCCAATCCCAAACCCAAAACCAATTTCCATTAAATCCAATTTCCAATTAAAAATATAACACTTACTCATCTCTTCCCACATCATTTCCATCCGATATTTTTCCCTAAAACCATCCAAGAATCGGGCTATGTCGGCTATCCCAATCTCCCAATGTCATGGGAACCCCACCCAATTAAATTACATGCTTAATGTTTATTGGGTCAAATTTAAATTACTTTCTTCATCCTAGTATTTTTGTCCATGGGGAGCCTCCAACGGCTATATAGGACGTTTGGAGCCTTGGAGGGGGTGGAGTGATTTGGGGGTGGGTAGGAGTTTTTTAACCTATAAATACCCCTCTAATATATTTTTTAATTCACTCATCAATCTCTCTCTCTTAATCCTCTCATAATCTTAATCTCTCTTAATCTTTACTAAATTCTTTCTTTTCTAATTTATACTTATACATTTTATATATATATATATATATATATATATATATATATATATATATATATATATATATATATATATACTCCCTCCGTCCATAAAAGAACTTCCCGGTTTGACCGGGCACGCAAATTTATGTGTAATGAAAATTGTATTGACTTTCCCATTATACCCCTCAACCTATTTGTCCTCTCCACCCGCCATAAGCCATCTACAGCAGTTGCTAATGCCGGCGGAGGTTCACCGCCGACCACTCTTCGACACCACTGTCCCCCACCAGCTGCCGTCACAGACCTGCAATCCCCTCCATCCCAACCCCCTTCGGTCTTCACTGACTCTTCCCTACACACTACCCAATAACTACAACCTCCCTCCTTCCTGTGCGGGTTGAACGCCCACCGACGAACCTCCATCTACATCTTCCCCTTCATCTGGCATATTAAAAGAATAGATCTGAAAATTGTAAATACAAATCAGAAATAATGGAGAAGCTGTCGACGGAGATCTATTCCGATCAAAGGAATTTACCATTTGGATCGGATATGATGAAATTAACCAAAAAAATTAGAGAGAAAGGGAGAAGATCGAGACAAAGGAGAGAAATAGAGAAGAATTTGAAGATTGAGAGGATTAATGAGAGAAGATGGTGAATAAATTACTCCGTAAGAAAGAGTGGTGGGGAGGATGAGAGAGAAACTTGCACGAGAAATGTGGATAGAGTGGGTTAATAGTTTAGGGTGATAAGGGTAGTAGTGTCTTTTTAAGATAAAAATTTTGCCATTAAAGGAAATGGGAAGTTTTTTTGTGGACAACCAAATATGGAAAGTGGGAAGTTCTTTTATGGACGGAGGGAGTATATATATATGTATGTATATATGTATATATATATGTATATATATATATGTGTGTGTATATATATATATATATAATCATATATAAGTATATTACTAATATATTATATTACTATATATTTATATTATAATATAATCCAAAATGCGAATATATTATATTATTAATATTATAAATTTCTCACCACCTCTGAGGGTCCGAATATATTATATTATTATTATATATTTATATAAATATATTAAAATGTCGAGCGAGTCTGGTAGAAGGTCCGTAGATATGGGTGTTGTGAATCGAGGACGTTCTAAGAAAGGCAAAGCTATCACCACCTACGAAAGTTCGAGCTCACGTGCTTCTCAATGAAGAAACTATATCTCTTTCCTACTATCCGATCCCCCAACAATTCATAGACAACGCTATGACCGATCAACAATTCGAGCAGTATTTGGGAGGAAGGAACGACGACAATCATCAAACTCTTGAAGATATATTCGAGGATGTTGAAGAGGAGGTGGAACCAACACCCGAGAGCAACAATCCTACCGATAAGGAGAGAGATGAGCCCGAGACCTCTAAAGGTATGGGAAAAGGTAAAAAATATAAATTTGAATTATTTGTACTCAATTTTACTAAAGATACAAAAATGACGAAGTTTTTGGAACTTGTCTTCATTGTGGGGCAGTCATAAAAATAGAAATTTCCGGGGGTTATGGTGGACCGACCAAATACGTCTGAGCGAGGCACCCCGTGGAGTACACCAAATTCATGGCGAAAAGGAGAGAAGTGCAGGCTCAAATTTCTCGATTTGCAAAAAAGGGTAAGAGCAACCTTTTTTCCTATAGCGATGAGAAATATAAGCAAACAATGACCAAAATGATTTGTGAGGAAAATTTACTATACATGTTTTCTGAAAAACTTAGATTTATTGACTATTGTCAAACCGCAATAAACCCTCAAGCAAGAGGTCTTTCAAAAAAACAATTAAGAGATAAATTATTAGACAATATAAAGTCGAAAAAAATAATTTGGCAAATTTTTTTCTCACTTTTAATTCTCGTGTTACTATTTATCCTGATATTTGGAGTGAAATATATCATAATTTGTCTTATATGAGTGTTATTTGTCATTGGATAGACAATGATTGGATTATGCATAAATGTGTTCTCCAAGAATACAATTTACTTGATATTTGGAGTGAAACATATCATATTTTAACCATTGATTATTCTCTGTCATCGGTTACCATTCTCATCACCAACCATCCCCGTTGTAGGTGACCCCCACTTATCACTAATTAAATTATTATTTTAAATCTCTCCAAACAAATTCTTTTTAGATTTCACAACTCATATTATTTTTCCCAGATTTCATAAAATCATATAATATCTTATGGACTCACTTTTGTAACTCCCTATATTTATCCGGTCTAGTTAAGAGCATTCACAATGGCAAGACAATGTCTTGCCTTGCCATGCCATGTCAGCAAATTCCACTCAAATCATGGCATTCCATGACCATTCCACCCCACTTTTCATTCCATGTGCAAGGCATGACTCTCTCATTTTTTTATTTTTTTAATATTTTTAATATTTTAAATTTTTGAAAAAAATATTTTTTAAAAGAAGTAAACATATTTTAATAATAAAATAAATTTTTAAAATAATTTTTTATAATTAAAAATCATTAAAAAGTGCAAAAATAGACAAAAACAACGACTTGTCACTGTATGTACGACACTCAACTCATTTTATTGGTAGAATGTAATGGCGTAAAATCAATAAAAATGGTAGAATGTTCTTTCTTTTCCTCCTCCTTCAATTGGTCAGTCATCTATCTTCCCAGATTCTTTTTTGTAAGCGTTCCGCTCCCAGGTCTCCATCTTCAAGCGATTTTAATCTTCTAGAGGTATTTTCAATAATTAAAACTGGGATGAGTTATATTTATTTTTGGTTTTTAGATTGTTAAGCTATTATTAAATTGATATTATCCCTGAACTATGTTATCTTACAATAGATAAAAATACAGTGTTTGATTGGGTTGGTTTATCTTAGGCATATACAAAATGGTTATGAGTATTGGTTAGAACCCATATTTCTATAACACCAAGAATACATTTGAGCCATCTGTCGAAGACTTCTACTGTGAAGAATTACAACTTGATTGTTCTAATAGCAAGCTTTCGATTCTTCTTTGTATTGTTTTGAATGGTTTGTTGCTAAATGAAGATTTAGTTTTTTTTAAAAAATAAATTACTACTCCGTACTTCCCTTCGCGAATTGTGATTTCTCTTGGAAAAATGTGTACTACTATTTTTGAATTAGAAAAGAAATTCAAATATTTGCGAATATGAGCTCGAATTGAATAAATATTTGTTTAATTCAAATTTTTGGATGAATATGAATAGAACTATTTTATAGCGCATTTATAATTGAAGTAATATGATTACACTGAATGATTTTTACGAGTAGTCTTAACCATATTTATCAATTTTTTTAACATTTAATTTTTGCGTGACTTCAATCCATACGTTGTATGCATCCACCATTGGGTGAGTTCAGGATTTTCGTAACGTGAGTTTTCTTTCCTCAGCTGGTAGAATTAGTATTAGGTTCCGTTTGGTATATGGAATTGATGGAATTGGAATTGAAATTGTATGAGATTCAATTCCATAGAACTGAATTCAGCAATTCCAATTCATTTTTTGCACTATCAATTCCAAATCCACATAATTTTTGTGCTACCAAACACCAGAATTGGAATTGAAGTCCTCAATTCCAATTTCTTAGTTTGAATTCCGTGTACCAAATGAGGCCTTATAGAATTTGAATTGATGGATCAGTTATTTTCTTTCTCCAGATAGGAGATTTGAAAGATGGCAGAACAAGCAAGAAAGCCTATGCCGCATCATATGTTTTTTCCTTTGAGTGGGTATAGGAATCCCTTGCCTCTCCTGGAGACACATGATCCAGAACCACGGGAAAAGATCTTTCCGAGGATGAGTGATGATATTCGGGATATAAAAGAGGACAACTATATCTGGCACAAGAAGAATGTTGATGTTGTCGAGTTGTTGAAGGGGCACAACAGGGATTTCCTGATTAAGAAGAAGAAGAAAGGCGAAACAGAAACTGTGTGTGTTCCCATTGAGCAGGAGCTGAAGGGCTGTTATGTCATTGTTGCTTGTTTCTTGGCCCCCATACTTTCGGCTTCTACTCATGCTGATCCTTGCCATGCTCTGATACGTCTATTTGAAGAGGTGTCTGCCCAGAGATTGGACCCTGAATGTAAGACTGTTATTGTGACCAAGGTGACGCCGTGTGCCAGAGAAATTTGGATGGACAAAAATGTTGAGGAGGTGGCTTTTGATGAATTCTTCTCCGGCTTCCCTGAGGGTTTCCTTGCCATCCCCTTTTCAGATTTTGAGTCTCGCGACAGAGTTTTCAGCTCTCTTAGTGAAACCAAACAGCCCTTCATTGCAGCCCTTATTGTTGATCCTGATGGCAAGGTTCTCCACAGAAGTTTTGGGTACTTATGCTCCTATGGGGCTGCCTTCTACCCTTTCTCCATGGACCATGTCAATAGGCTTTCCATGGGGGACGAGTGGCTCAAGAGGAGATTGAATCCTTTCCCTTACCAGGTTTCCCCTTCTCTTGACTACGAGTCCCCACTGTTGTCCCTTGCCCAACTCTTCAATCACTTTCCAGAGGACGTTCTTCTAGCCGAGATTCGTGGTCAAGACATGGTAAATCCTGCCCCATTGTCTACCTTAATGAAGGGACAACTAGTGGCATTATACCTCTGCGCTAACGGGCACTTCATGGACAGTCTTGTCAAGCTCTACCTGCAATGCAGAGAACGTGTTCCCAAGCTCGAAGTCGTGGTCGTGCCCCTAGCATTCTCAGATTACCCCCAGTCCTATTACCACCACATCATGCTTGCCTTGGCCAAGCGCAACATAACCACTTGGTGGGCTTTGCACCCCTATAACGACAAGATTATGCGCACCCTTTCCCGTCTCTCCGGGAGGAGGGGTGGCGACAGGCTTATCCTTGTCCCAGCTGTTGGGGAAAACTATTCCTACTGCGGAGATTTCAGTGCCCACGCAGTGTTATCCCTCTTGAAAGTGTATCCCAGGGCATATAAGGTGCTCCCTCCTAGCATGTATCCCTTCACCACAGAGAAGCTCTACATAGAAAGGCTCTCCTCTCTGCGCCAAGTCACGCTCCCCTCTTTGTTGTGCTGTGCAGATTTAAGCCAGACCTCTCCCCTGAGGCTTTGCAGCAGCTCCAGGGCAAGAATGTCCTTATGTAACGGCGTAAATAAGAGACAAATGTAGGAGTAACTGTGTAAATAAACAAATTTAGGAGTATTTATGTAAAACCTGTAATTTCTCTTGTGAATTTTGCCTAATCTTTAATCACACAAAACAAAAATTTTATGAAGCATATTACCCAGAAAAAGTCTTCAAAGAATTACTTATTCCTATTCTTTAGGCTAAAATACTGCAAAGAAATAAAAATCTTAGTTACAAACTAGATTTTTATTAAATGGGATATTGGAAAATAGAGTTTATTGCATCAAGACCTCTTGTGGTTTGGTAATTGTGCAGCGTTACCCCTTATGGTTTCAAAAACTTACGTTGTTGTTTCTCGTTGTTGCTCCTCGTGGTTCTGATATTACTGTGCTAATATCTCTATAGACTAAGATATCCTTCAAATATTAGATTCACTGCCCACTGGTTTTGGAAAATGACACAAATGCTCCCTCTTTTCTTTATTGGTTTTCTGTTTTCTACTATTTTTTCATAAATGATTTTAATTTCATTTTTAAGATTATTTTTTAATAATTAATGTATTTAATAATAATTTTTTTGTGTTTACAAAAAAAAACAATTAGATAACAAGAATTAACGTATATTTCATGTCTCAAATTAGACATTTTTTTTGGCCAAAATAGGTTTTTATTGGTTCATTTTCATAATACGAAAAGTCGAAAATCAATAAAAAATTCTCTTTTTCACTAAAACTCATTTCTCTTTTTTCTGTTCATTAATTTTATACTGATTCTTTATTTTAATCAAAATTAAAATAAAAGAAAGAATAATAGAAAAGAAAATAAAGAAAAAGAAAAGTATATGAAAAAAATACTTTTATAGAATAGAGAAAATTAAGTCATGAAGAAAAAAAATTTTGCGCATTGGTCCAAAAAATATTATTAATATATAACTAAATATATATTAACAAAGGGAACATTGGAATTATTCAACTAATATTTGAAAGATATTTTTGTCCGAAGAGAATTGTCTTACAAGATCAAAATCATACTCCTTCCGTCCCAGAGTATTTGTCCACTTTCATTTTTACACACCATTCAATGCACTTCTTTAATTCATTTTATCTTGTAATTTGTATATTAAAAAATTATAGAAAAGTGAACAACTAACAAAAACGGGGAAGGGGAGTATGAAACAACGAACAAACCACGTGAGGCCTATTGGTACAATAAACACAAATATCACTTTTAAGTTAGTTAGGCTGCGTTCCCTATCTGATTTTTTGCATGAGTTATGCTTGCAAAAGACACAACCCCAATTCTGCAACCCCAATTTGGAATCCCACTCGTCTCCCGACGCCGTCTCTGCATAAATTTGCCCGGTGAAGAGGTGAGGCTAAGAGTATTTGAATTTTTCCTTTGCGTGTTTGTTTTTTGAAATTGAAATTCAATTACAGAATAAGAAATTGGAGCCACTGCATTGAATTTAGGGTTGTTGGCTCGCCATGAATCTGCGTTTCAATTTGTTTTTTTTAAATCACCTTTTAGTCTAAACTTTGCTGAATTTGTTTCCATTTTTTTGACGTCTCAGCATAATTTGCATTTTTTTGGATCCTCTGCATTTTTGTTTGGAAACTTAAGTGAATTCAATTTGTATTATTTACAGATTGAATAAATTGGTATTAACAATGTTTATAATATTTTTTCTATGAATTTGTATTATTTACAGATTAAAGAATTTGTATTGAATTTGCACTATTTACAAATTAAAGAATTTGTAATTCAAATAATATGACTCTTTACAGTATGCTTTTTAGTATTAACAATATTTATAATATTTTTTCTACATTTAATTTTGTCTGACTTCACTTGCGTCCGCCACTGCGTGAGTTCATGATTGTTGTAACTTGATCTTTCTTTCATCAGTTGGTAGAATTGGAATTTTAGAACTAGAATTGATGCCTTAGTTATTTGCTCTCTCCATACAGTTAATTTGAAAAATGGCGGAACAAGAAAGAAAGCCTGTGCCGCATCATATGTTTTTTCCTTCAAGTGGGTTTAGGAATCCCTTGCCGTTCCTGGGGACATATCAATCCGAACCCTGGGAAAAGATCATTCTAAGGGTGAGTGATGATAGTTGGGACGCAAAAGGGGACAGCTATATCGGGAGCAAGAAGAATGTTGATGTTGTTGAGTTGTTGAAGGGCCCCAACAGGAATTTCCTGATTAAGCTGGAGAAGAAGAAGAAACGCAGAACAGAAACTGTGTGTTCCCATTGAGCAGGAGCTGAAGGGCTGTTATGTCATCGTTGCTTCTTTCTTGGCCCCCATACTTTCTGCTTCTGGTGGCGCTGAATCTTGCCATACCCTGATACGTCTATTTGAAGAGGTGTCCGCCAGGAGATTGAACCCTGAATGTAAGATTGTTATCGTGACCAAAGTGAGACCGTGTGCCACAGATATTTGGAGTGGACGAAATGTCGAGAAGGTGATTTTTAATAAATTCTTTTCCGGCTTCCCCAAGGGTGTCCTTGCCATCCCCTTTTCAGATTACAAGTCTCGTGACAGAGTTTTCAGCTCTCTTAGTAAATTCAAACAGCCCCCCGATGCAGTCCTTGTTGTGGATCCTGTCGGCAAGGTTCTGGGTGATAGTTTTGGCTTCTTATGCTCCTATGGGGCTGCCTTCTACCCTTTCTCCATGGACCATCGCCGCGAGCTTTCCAGGCGGGACGAATTTTTCATGGAGAGACTGAATCCTTTCACTTACCAGGATTCCCCTTCTCCTTCTCTTAACTACAAAGACACACTGCTGTCCCTTGCTGAACTTTTCGATCACAGTCCAGAGGATGTTCTTCTAGCCAAGATTCGTGGTGCAACAATGGCAGATCCTTCCCCTCTGTCAACCCTACTGAAGGGCCAAATAGTGGCATTATACCTCTGCGCTAATGGGCACCTCATGGACAGTCTTGTCAAGATCTACCTGCAATGCAGGGGTCGTGTTCCCAAGCTCGAGGTCGTGGTCGTGCCCCTAGCATTCTCAGATTACCCCCACTCCTATTACCGCCAAATCGTGCATGCCTTGGCCGAGCACAACATAACCACTTGGTGGGCTTTGCACCCCTATAACGACAAGATTGTGCGCACCCTTTTCCGCCTCTCCGGAGGGAGGAATTTTGACAGGCTTATCCTTCTCCCTGCTGTTGGGGAAACCGATTCCGACTCCTATTCCTATTGCGGAGATATCAATGCTCACGCAGTATTATCCCTCTTGGGCTTATATCCCTTGGCAAATAGGGCGCTGCCTCCTAGCATGTACCCCTTCACCACAGAGAAGCTCTACTTGGAAAGGTTGTCCTCTCTGCGTCAAGTCACCTTGCCCTCTTTGTTGTGCAGATATAAGCCAGACCTCTCCTCCGAGGCCCTGCAACAACTTCAAGGCAAGAATGTCCTTCTGTGTGTGGATGGTTCATTTGGTGTAAACTCCTCTTTCTACTGAGCCACAAGTATCCTAAAATTCTGGGAAAATATGCTGATTGCAAGTTCATTGGTGTTGCGGAAAGTGAGAACCCCTCAGATGATGTTGTTTCTATGGTTCCCTTGGAGCTTTTGCTCCCGGGTGCTGCTGATTCCATGTCCAGAGCACTTTACTCTGAGGACTTGGGCGAGTACAGGGAGATGAGTTGTGTCCTTGTTGCATTTGGGGGGGGGGGGAGATGGTCGTATTTTGTCAAGATGTGTGTCCCTTGATAATACTGACAATCTTTTCAATGATGTTCTAAGCCAGGAGATATATGCAGAAGTAACTGATGATGTCGCGACACAGGCTGACTGCATGCCCTAAAGAGGATGTTGGACTATTAGATAATAAATTAATTATCAGCTTAATACTCTACTACTACTACTACTACTAGGTACAAGGTCAATGCCTGTTGAAGTGCTCTAAAAGATGGGCTCTGCTCCGACACACCTCATGGTCCCTCCCTCAATCAGAATAATACTGGTAGATATCTAGACGTTGTGTTTGTTCTGCTTTTGCTTCTGCCGTACTTTTGTAATGTTAAAGTTAACGGTGTTCGTTCTGCTTTTGCTTCTGTCATACTTTTGTGCTTTTGGTGTATGAACTGGTGGGGCTGTTGTGGTTGCCTGGATCTTGTGTTGTTGATATTATTGTTAGTATTATCAAGGGACACACATCTTGACAGAATACGACCATCTCCTCCCCCAAATGCAACAAGGACACAACTCCTCTTCCTGTACTCGCCCAAGTCCTCAGAGTAAAGTGCTAAAGTGCTCTGGACATGGAATCAGCAGCACCCGGGAGCAAAAGCTCCCAGGGAACCATAGAAACAACATCATCTGAGGGGTTCTCACTTTCCGCAACACCAATAAACTTGCAATCAGCATATTTTTCCAGAATTTCCGGTAATAGGAGTGGGGGTAATCTGAGAATGCTAGGGGCACGACCTCGAGCTTGGGAACACGGCCCCTGCATTGCAAGTAGATCTTGACAAGACTGTCCATGAGGTGCGCAGAGGTATAATGCCACTATTTGGCCCTTCATTAGGGTTGACAGAGGGGAAGGATCTGCCATTGTTGCACCACGAATCTTGGCTAGAAGAACATCCTCTGGACTGTGATCGAAAAGTTCAGCTTGAAAAGTTCAGATGATTGTTACGCAGTCAACCTCTGTCTCGACATCATCAGTAACTTGTTCATATACCTCTTGGCTTAGAACATCATCGAAAAGATTGTCCGTATTATCCAAGGACCTGTTCGCATGCCTTGACAGAATACGACCATCTCCCCCATCTCAGCTTTCCACACGTGTTGTCCCTTGTGTTTTGATGATGACAAATTATTATGGGACTAGATCAGAAATTGGTGTCGAAGTCCCCAGTTAGCAAATCTGCAACACAATTTAATGAAGTCAACATTATCTTCGATACAAATAATGCAATTCAAAATTGAAAACCTATGTGTAAATGTCATAGCACTAATCTAGTCATGCGTGTAATACTCCAACCGCCACAAGAATTGGTTGTCCTGAATGGGTAATGAAAGGTGTAATGAATGGTGTAGGGGAAATATCAATAATGAAGAGAATGGTGTAACAACAATAAGTACTGGTAACCGGACGCTACCTCTTACCCAAGCTTGTAGAGGAAGGCATACCACTAGACTATCAAAATCTCCTTTCCAATCAACAACAAAGTGAAAAGTGTAGGGATTCCATTGATGCAAGTCAAAAAAGCAGATAATTAATAATGGACTGAAGTCCAAATGCTGGCTGCTGCAAGATGCAATTCCTCAAACTAAACCATCGGAACTCCTTCCTACTCTACCTCCTCTTGGTCCATAGTCCCAATTCGGCACCTACATTCAAGCGTACAAAAACTCATCCTCGGCAGCACACCTCCAGTAGTTGTGTTCACTCCCCGCCGCATACCCTAGAACTGGCAACAAGTTGGAGCCCACCATGAATCGCAGCTGGTAAGCATACAACCTCCCTCCGTTCGTCTTATCTTCCAATGCCTAAATGGCCACCACCGCTGGGAAATCAAGGACTCGCTGGATAAATTGGATGATTTCGAGACCAGTCGCTGAAGCAAACCCCAAGTGATCCACCGGCCTGTTCAGATCCTTCTTTGCAAAAAAAGAAAAAAAACAATTAAATCAATGCAGCTTCAATCTCAAACCCAACGCATCTCACTAGTAATAATATAACTCTTACTCATTTCTTCCCACAGCATTTCCATCGGATACTTGGCCCTAAAAGTCTAAAACCATCCAAGAATCAAGGTATGTCGGCTATCCCCATCTCCCTTTGCTTCTTCATTTTTTTGTTGATTTCTTTATACATGAATTCATCAGAGTTATGATAATCATAATAATCAAAAAACCGAAATCTAGGAGGATATTTCTTGAACTCATCCATCAAATCCTGCTTATCAAAATCTCCCTGCCAATCTGACTTGGGAACGACAAACCCTTTAGGATGCGTATCCATAAAATGATTAGTGGGATGGTCCCTCAGGCTTAGTGGGAGAGGTTAATCGTAGAGAGCCAGTTGCACTCAGACTTTGGTATACGGTACACAACTATGTAGTAAGGGAGAGATGCATAGGGATATTTCCTCTCCAACGAAGCATCTCTCCCTTACTACGTAGTTGTGTACCGTATCCTAAAGTCCGAGTGCAACTGGCTCTCTACGATTATCCTCTCCACTAAGCCTGAGGGACCATCCCACTAACCATTTTATGGATACGCATTCTAGGAGGTTTGTCGTTCCCAAGTCAGATTGGCAAGGAGATTTTGATAGGCAGGATTTGATGGATGAGTTCAAGAAATATCCTCCTAGATTTCGGTTTTTTTGAAATTATGATTATCGTAACTCTGATGAATTTATTTATAAAGAAATCAACAACAAAATGAAGAAGCAAAGGGAGATTGTGATAGCCGACATACCCTGATTCTTAGATGGTTTTAGGGCCAAGTATCGGATGAAAATACTGTTAGAAGAGATGAGTAAGCGTTATATTATTACTAGTGAGATGCATTGGGTTTGGGATTGGAGCTGCATTGATTTAATTGTTTTTTTTCTTTCTTTTGCAGAGAAGGATCTGAATAGGCTGATGGATCACTTGGGGTTTGCTTCAGCGGCTGGTCTCAAAATCATCCAATCTATCCAGCGAGTCCTTGATTTCCCAGCGGCGGTGGCCATTTAGGCATTGGAAGATAAGACGGATGGAGAGAGGTATGCTTACCAGCTGCGATTCATGATGGGCTCTAACTTGTTGCCGGTTCTAGGGTATGAGGCGGAGAGTGAACACAACTACTGGAGGTGTGCTGCCGAGGATGAGTTGTTGTACGCTTGAATGTAGGTGCCGAATTGGAACTAGGGACCGAGAGGAGGTAAAGTAGGAAGGAATTCTGATGGTTTAGTTTGAGGAATTGCATGTTGCAGCAGCTAGCATTTGGACTTCAGTCCATTATTAATTATATGCCTTTTTGACTTGCATTAATGGAATCCCTGCACTTTCCACTTTGTTGTTGATGTTTTTTTTGTTTTATGAAACAAGTGTTTTTTATTTTGATTTTGAAAGAGAAGAGAGTGGTGGAGTAAGACATCATATACTGTCATTGCTCATGGTTCAACCTTCAACCTCTTCTTGTATATAACACAATCTCATTTTCATTCCCAACCAAATATGAAACCAATAGAAAACCCGGCAGCTGCCAGGTTAGTTATATGCTACGGAGTGGAAACTTTGTTTTATACTCGGTAGTAAAAAAGATTTTCTTGAGGTGAAAATTAGAAGAATAAGTAAATTTAGACCTCTTTCTTCCCTCAACTTCCTACGTGATCTCATACTGTTAGGCCATTACTCAGTGTTAGGCTCACAATATACTCTCGGACTCTATCTAGGTTCCCTTGATTATAAAAAATGTGGTTGAAAAGATACAAGTTTGAGAAAGATGTATTGAAGAGCATATCACATGTTCAATGAGGTGGGTGGGTAGGGGCATGGTTAGGGGGATGGGTCTAGGAGGGATTTAAGACTTGTTTGGTTGGTTGGAGAGGAGGACGGAGAAGGGAGGGAAAATGAATTCCTGCCCTTGTTTGGTCTATTTTTTAGAAGGGAGCCATAATTTTCCATCCAACCAAACTTGCTTTTCACCTTCTTCAAAATTGCTTTCCACCCTTTCAGAAAATCTCGATTACCAAATGCTTTCACAAATCTAGCTAATTGGGGATTACAATTGTTGTGTGTTCATGGATGGAGAGATATTCACCTTCTTCAAAGTCATGGAAGCCGACCTGGATAATTCGACCCATCTCTCCCTTACTACGTAGTTGTGTACCGTATCCCAAAGTCCGAGTGCAAAATTCACGAGGATCAACTGGCTTTGTACGATTATCCTCTCCCACTAAGCCTGAGGGACCATCCCACTAACCGTTTTATGGATACGCATCCATAAAATATCTAAAGAGAGATGTGGAGATCAACTGTCAAGTAGTGCTAATGTTATGCCAAAATATAACTTCAAGTGAGTAAGTATATTTTGGCATAACATTAGCACTACTTGACAGTTGATCTCCACATCTCTCTTTAGATATTGACCACTATGGGAGTAGGAGTTCGGTTTTTAAATGCACCGATTTGAATTGAATAATCGTGAAAAAATTTCGTATTCGCTAATTTAATGTTATTTTCGTATTCAGATTTGATTTCGCTTCAAATCTTTTTAAAGATTCGTATTGGATTCATTTAACATAGAAGACACTCCACCTTTTCAATTTTTTTTGAAGTATCTTTTTTTTTATTTTGAAGAGGAGTGTGAAGCATAAAGACAATTGTGGATTTGCATTTGCTTCATTGAAATTACATTAATTTTATACATTAGTGCCTTATTAACGCAGTTTTTTTTCCAGATGCATTCTAATTCATTTTGTTAATGCCTTACACTAGGTTTATTATTGCCACTATTGTGTTTCTTTTGTTGGGGAAGCCCGGACGAAACCCAACGGAAGCGAATAAAATCTTTTATTTAAATAAATGAGATGAACAACAAAGCACAATATACTGTAAAAATCAGCAGCAGCACCACATATAAATAATAGCAACGGGAATAAATTTTTTTGCATCTAAAATTGTTATTATCTCTCCGCTATTCTTCTTGTATGTCAAAACTTATCAATAATGGAATTCTAAAGACAACTCAAAGGAAAACATTATTCAAAATTTTAAAAGATAATTGAAAAGTAAAATTAGTTAACAACATAGTCTTCCATTTCAACTTCATTATCACCAAAACTTTCTTCATTTTCCTCATTAGCATCATTTTGTGGTTTATCGGCCCACATAGCTTCAGCAATGCCATGTCTCCAAGCGTTAGCTTCTGTTCTTTGTTGTTGTTGAGTTTGAGAAAGTATTTCAGAATTTTCTTCCTCCATGTCAAGATACGATGAAGAAGATGACTCAAGTTCTGGTTCAAGAGGAAATTCATCAGAACGACACTCTTTACGAAGAAAGTTGTGTAGTCCTGCACAAGCTAACACTAGCTCTGCTTGCGTTTGAAATGGAAAGGAGGTGCAGTTTTGAAAATGGTGAAACGTGATTTAAAGATACCAAATATTCTCTCAATAACATTTTTGAACGATGCATGACGCAGGTTGAACAATTCATTTGCATTTCGGGGTGACGGCCTTGACCTCTAAAGTCTTTGAGATGATACCAAACACCTCGTAATGGTGCTAAAAATTGTCATCGATTCGCGAATCCAAAGTCTTTGAAGTTTGACCTTTTGTTTTAGATTTTTTCATGGATTTTGAAGTGTTATGAACTTATGAATTTAACAATTGCCCTCATGAATTGTTATTGTTATGAATTTGGGGATTGATGGTGTGTACCGTGTATCATTCCCAGGCAATTACTTCTCTGTAATCGGATGAAAGGGTCGCACATTCCACGGTTTCACCGGCTATAAGAGTAAATGCTTGAATTGGCTATGGAGTTTCATTCTTCACCTGCTATAGGAGTAAATGGTTGGGTGATTCATGGGGTACGTTACTACGAAATTTGTTTCATTTCCGGATTCCCCAAAAAAACAGGTAATTGATTTGCATTAATTTTGAATTTTTTTACACGATTTGGTTGTTTTCCGGGCTGTACATGAAAGACCTCTGACTTCCCCTTCATTTTTCCAGTTCAAAATTTTGGAATATACTCGTAATTATTAATAATTTACACATACGTTACATTTTTGTCAATCAAGCAGGTATTTATAATCTTGTTTTTAAGATGGAATGAATCACAGTCTTGTGCTCTGCTTTCAGGTTTGTGAATTGTTTCTGGTTTTTTTTTTTAAAAAAAAATTTTACACTCATTGGTAGAGTGTAATTACCCATCCACTTTCTTTTCATTATTTGAAGTGAATAATCTATTTTTTTAAATTCCAGGTTCACTTTCATTTGCTCTAATTTCCAATATCATTGTTAAGGTAAGTACTATTTCTTCACAGAAAAATTCTTCACAGAAATCACTGTTAAGGTAACTATCATTTGTTTATACTAATATGTTTCTTAAAGCAAGTGTATAGCGTTTCGTTAAAGTCATGGGTGAAATTGGTTATTATTACCTATCAGTTGAAAACTATTTTAGTATTATATTTTAAAACTTATTTTAGAATTTAAATTAATAACCATTCACATAATACTATCTGCATATAGATTTTCTGCAAATAAAATGTATTTGCTACTTTGCAAGTATTTTAAGTGATTATGAAGTTGGGGGGTTTTGTATTCACTTAATCTGCATTGCATTGAACTTTTTCTTAGTAGGGTGTCTGTTTAGATTTTCTGCTTGGCAGTAGTTAAGGTATTTGTGTGGTGACCTAATGGTGGTTTCAGGTGAGGAAGAATGACTGGCGCAGACTTGGTGGTGATTCAACCTCCTGATCTCAAGTTCACATGTAAGTTCAATCAATGATGTCTTCTGATCATGATAAGAAAACCTCGTGGAGCTGTTTCTGTATAACTATTAACATCTTGGTGTCTTTGCTGTCTATTTTGTCTGGTTTGGTAATATTCTTTACCTTCTTAAGTTGTTCTGCCTTGGTTAGTTTATTTTATATCTTCATATATATAAGCTCGCATTGAATGAATTTGTGTCTTCCATTTGAATTGTTTTGAATCTTCTAACAGGTTCCAGTCGACTTGCTGAAACAAAGTTCATGTTCTGTTTACTTGACCAACATCACAGATCAACATGTAGCATTTAAGGTGAACCTATTTTCATCTTCCCCCCAAATGCTGTGAAATCTACATCAGTACATGCCATGCATTTTTTTCCATGTCCTACTTTTGTCCTAGAAAAAGAGTCCTCTTTGAACTAAGGAATCTAAATTTCCTAATATTTGATGTATTGCTTTTCATTAAAAAGAAAAGGCAAGTGTACCTTATAAGTGAAGTACACTAAATTTACCCAAATGAACAAATAAATTGAAAATTAAACATATATGGACTAATTGATGTGTACCTTACCAGAATTTAGTTGTACATTGGTGAGACATAGCTCCTATTTTGGGAGTAGTATTTTAATATGTAATTTTTATTTTTTAACTATATACCATTTGTCATATAAAATGATTTGAAAATAATTTGAGTCAAACATCGTAAACCGAAACAGGCGTTATAAAATGGGACGGAGGGAGTATTATATTTACTCATTTTAATTTATTTATTCTTTTCAAGCATAAGGTTATTTATTGTTCATTCTGAGCGTGCATCACACAAATGAAGTCTAGTATAGTCTAATGATTCATTTTTTACTTGTTAATGTTTAATAACTTTTATCCATCTCATTTAAAAATTTACGGTAAAGTTTAAGAGTGCTTCAATTTTTTAAATACTTCAAAAATTTTGTATCTCCTTTACTATTAAACTGTTAATCAACAACATGGTTATTGGTTTTTTTTCTTCTATATAAAGGTAACCTTATAAACTTTACAATGTACTTATTTTTTTAGAAAAAATACAAAGTATGTACTTGATATTATTTCACATTTTTCTAAAATTCTAACGATATATCAAAATAAACTTATAAACTTTACAATTTACTTATTTTTTTTTGAAAAAAATACGAAGTATGTAATTGATATAATTTCTCATTTTTTCTAAATAAATTCTAGCAATACATCTTTCACTTTTTTAATGCTTCATTCACATCATTTAAAAATTACGAAGTAACAGTTAAGTTTACGATGTTTGACTTATGGTATTTTATATGAAAATTGGTGAAAAATTTATATCAAGTATTTAAAAACTACTCTCTCCGTCCCAATTCAAATCATTTTATATAAAAAAAATGGTGTAGAATTAAAAAAATAAAAATTACATATTTAAAAACTACATCAAAAGATTTATAAAACTAGTGGTAACAAGACTATGTTCTTTTATCAAATAAACAACGAAAGTAAAAAAAGAAAGCGAATAAAAATATGTAAATAAACAATTTAAGTTAGGACAAAGAGAGTTTATTAAAGATCTATAAAGAAAAATGTGACATAATTTTGTTATTTTCTTCAAATGATAAATAAACATATGTAAAGAAAGAAAAATTAATTTCACGGTGTGAATAGTAATTGTAAAGAATCAAAGCAAGTGATATTGTTGAACTTTATAAAATTAAGCCATGATGTCTATTTCAATATAAAGAAAGTGTAACCTTTGTCACAATGTATTTGCCTCCTTTGATTCTTTTCAATCAAACTAAATAAACTTTAAAAGTCAATTAAACCAAAATTATATTACATACTAATACAAAAAAATAATTTTTGAAAATATTTTGTAAGATAAATTTTATTTTACTTATAATCCAAAAAATGAATTACAGTCACATTTTTAGATAAAAGACCCCATAGTTAAATATCTTGGGTTCGCTCCTGGTGTTCGCCTCTAAGGATAAATATAAAACGAGGAGTAATGCACTACACATTAAAAAAAGTTTCCCAAAAAGAGAATAATTTCCTTAAAAAGGAAAATAATATCCCTAAAAAAATTGTTTTCCAATGCTCCAAAAAAAAGTGACATCTACAACACACATACAGTACTCCAAAAAAAAGCATAGAAAAAATAAAACGATAAGCTGACATATACAATGCTCCCCAAAATAAAGTCAATCATAAAAAGTGATCAAATTCTTCTGTGATCCTAAAATCCATACTCATTTTATAAACTTTATTATATAAATACCATCGATGAATTGGACTTTTTGAAAGAAATAAAATATCCACATATTGACCAATGAATAGAGTGAGAACATTTTCATATGTGGAATTCCAAACCATGAAAGCACAATTCTAAAAGGTGAACATCCAAAAAACAAAAATAGATAAATGTTCAAAAATGGCAAAACATAAATATATGTTCACATAAAAGGTGACATGTGTGAAATAAAAGACTTTTAACGTTTATCAAGATAGCCAAAACTCTAGCCACACATATCTTGATCAATAAGATCAAGAATGAATTCTTTTTTCCACTCCTTATCGGGGCATTGATGAGAGAGAGAGAGAGAGGGAGTGAGGGGGGGAGAGGGGTTAGTCTAAGATAATTTCTTCACTCTTTCTGTTCCTTACCTCATGGAATAAACCTGCTTTTTTAGCTTGAACATCTTTTTCTTTAGCCTGACTTTCTTCTTCACGAGCCATTATGGCTTGCTCAAGTTCTTGAGTTGTAGACGATGCACTTTCAAGTGTATAAAAAAGAGAAGTCATGCCACCTATAAAAGATGAATTATTGGAAGAAACATTGATAATTGACGAGTTTAACTCAACCTCTGGATTTTTCTTTTTGCCTTTGCCCTTTGAATAGTTTTCTTTTCTCGTATCTTTCCTTGTATGTGGTGATGGTTTCGTTAAGGACTGGTCCTCTTTTTTATCCTCTTCAAATGCATTGTTGTTGATGCTAACAGCATCAATATCGGTTTGAAGGGTCTCTACAGCTTCCACATAATCCTCACCTGAACCTCCATTAGCTCTATCTGCTCCAAATACCTTGTCTAGATCTTCAAGAAATGGAAAAGAAGTTCCCCACAATCCCTTTGCATTCTTATTTTTCTGTAAGAATAAAATAAACAAATTTAAAAGATAGTAAAATCGCATTAACATCTCCCAAGCATTGAGGAAAAATGCTTGGTTCTTTTGAATTCGCTGTCAACTTGAAGAAAAAATCCATATGTGTGAAAATGTGTGCTCTGTTCCACCAAATCACTAATTAGACTCAAGGCTTAAGTTCCTAGAAAAATTACATCCCCTTGCATTCTTACTTTGAGAAATTCACTGTAAGATTGTCTTTTGCACTTTATTTTCTTGGTTGTGTCATCCCAAGAGAAGCCTGAAGTGCCAAGCATCACCATTATCACATTATGCTTTTCCCTGAATTGTTTCACCTTGGATTCAATTTGAGTTGATGTCAATCCACACCCAGGAAATTTTTTGTTCATCAATTTTTCTAGTTTTTGCAAATATCCATTCTTGAAGTTCCCGTCTGCTTTCCACTTAGGATCTGTGCTTAACTCTACAAGAAGATGCACCAATCCCCACTCTTTATCTCTTGACCAAACCCGTTTGTTCTTACCTCTTCCACGCTTGCTTTTGTTATCAGAATTTTCAGAATTTTGACTCGTTGGTGTGGCACTTTGGCTACTCCCCATCCTAAAATTATGAAAAGAAATGCTTCTTTAGACATTTTTAAAAGGTAAACATGGTGCAATCAATCCCAAAACACATACTGTAATTATAAAACACATAAGTTTTTAAAAGTAGCATTATATCCCAAAATACAGAAAAACAACCACTAGCACGCAACCAAAAAACAACAATATTCAAAACACAAATTCATGCATATGCTTGTGTCCTAGCTTACCAGTTGTTAAAGCTAGATTGTGCTACAGAACTGCAAAAAGTACTCCAAGCGTCTGAAGTTTGAATATGGGTAACATTTTCAACATTCTCGTCACTATCGTCATAATTGTCACCTTCATCATCATCGTCATTATCATCGTCGTCGTCGTCCTCACTATCTTGAAAGCATACTTTGTTATATGTTGGCATGTGAATCCGAATAAAGTTATGTAATAGAACACATGCCAAAACTATACGACCCTGAGTGGGTATAGGAAAAAATGAAGGGCATCTAAGTATTCCCCATCTCCCTTTCAAAAGTCCAAAACAAAGTTCAATTACATTTCTTGCTTTAGAATGCTTCATATTAAAATATTCCTCGACAGAAACCGGTGTATGATCCCCCCACTCTTTCAGGTGATACCCATAAGACCTTGAAATGGTGCTAAGAAGACCTCACAATTGGTGTATCCAACGTCTACCAAGTAATATGTACCTTCAAGCGGGTTTAAATTTTAAGATTACTTATCTTAAAAATTTAGTATGGTTATACCTTGGGGTATATTTAAACTGTTGGGTCTAGAAAGTGCATCTCGAAGTACACGTCCATCATGTGCAGAACCTTCCCAACCCGGCAATGCATAAGTGAAGTCCATGACTCCATTTTAGACATGCAAGTGCCTAAAACATTTATGGAACAGTTCCCATCCTAGTTTGATACCTCGGTTTATCCTTAGATGACACATGCACTTGAATATAAGTTCCATCTAAGGCACCCAAGCAATTCTATAGTAAGTAATACATAAGAACGTGTTAGAAACATATACTCCGTATTTTCTAAAATGTTTGCCTGCAAATACATTTATCATTTGTTACATTAATACATAAACTTGAAATATTTCCCTCAACTGTCTTCACAGCCTTCTGAGATGGGTGTAGGTTTTTTCAACAGGTATGGATGCAAGCTCAAAACCGCAAGAAGAAAACGACAAAAGTTTCTACTAACAGTTTCCCCACTATGATAAAAATATTTTCCAGTTGTCCTATTTTTAAACTTATGGGCCAATGTGTACAAAAACATAGCAACAGTCTCTTCTAAGAACATATATCTATTGGCAGTTAAACCACCTTTAGCTCTAAGCATTTCACATAACACGTGAAAAGCATGTCTATTCATTCGAAGTTCACTTTTACAACCACTATGGGGGTGTTTGTTTTTTCTGCAGGAAAAGGTCTGCAGTCTGCGGACCACTACTGTAGACATCAGCAGGAGAAGTGGTGGACCGAAGGTCTGCGGTCTGCAAGAAGAAGACTGTTTGTTTTTTAATGTCTGTAGATTGCTATATAAATTAATGGTAGTAGTGTACGGTGGTGGTGTATGGACGATTGTGGTGGTGGTGGAGGGTGGTGGTGAAGGGTGGTGGTGGACGTTGACGGCGGTGGTGGTGGCAATGGATGGTGGTGGTGGTGGTGGACGATNTGGTAGTGGTGGACGGTGGCGGTGGACGGTTGTGGTGGTGAAGAGAAGTAGAAAAAAAAAGGAGAAGATGTTAGAAGATGTTAGAAGACATTGGTTAATGTCTTCTCCAAGAAGATGCCAGGAAGACCTTTTTGAGTGAAATGTCTTCCAAAAAACAAACAATCTGCAGAGCCCATCATCTGCGCGCGTCTGCGCGGCGCAGACAAAAGACGCCAGAAGGTCTTCTGGCAGAAAAACAAACACCCCCTATAACTTTCTCTTATTAATGCATTAAAATTAGTTTAATCATTGATTTTTCTTATCCCTAAAGGGTAACCTCAAAGTCTGTTTTTCATGTGCAACCATCATCGTCAACCACATAAAAATTACTAAAATGATTGCATTGGTGAAAAACAAGATCAGAAATAGCATTCGGAGTTGTAATTGTTTCCTCTTTCTCACAAGCAATATTTCACGAGATGATCCCATCTGTTAGAACAATACTGTCATCAACTAACAGCAGAATGTTAAAGAATACTAACATGCCAACATTTTTTCAAAACACTCCGAAAAAACATTTACTTTGAAATGATTTTGCATAACAAAGAAACATCTATATGTAAATAAAATAGTTCATATTTAATAAATTAAATAAGCAACCTGAGTTTAAAAAAATATGTTTATGGGACAAAAAATTATTATACACGGAAGAACAACAAACAAAATTCCATGATAAAAAACTTATCTACGAATGTAACACCATGTTAAAAAAAACTCTTAAATTTTTTATTTAAAGTAACACAAGAATTAAGCAGTGCAAATTGTTAGCCAAATTTACTCTTTCTGAATGACATCCACTTTTCCAAATCATGAAAAAATACAGATTAATAAAATATTTTGGTAATAATTAGAGAAAAATACAAATTAACAATAATTTGTAAACTATTACGAATTGGTAAAAATTTGATTAATATTAAATTTGATGATAATATTATAATTATATATATATATATATATATATATATATTTATATATATATATATATAATTCTTTTTTTTCTACGTTTAAAAAAGAAAAGAAAAATTACAATTAATACTATTTAGTCACACAGACACTAAATGTTCTTATTTTCTTGAACACAGACATTTACTATTTGTGTAATCTGAATAAAACAGCACCACCATCTCTGCCATAATTTACTGCTCCGGTGATGATGATGATGATGATGGCGCCGTTGTGACGCTTCTGGGCGGCTGCGGGGAGACCACGGCATGCAACTTCAAGGGGCGCCGAAGATGAAGCTAATCGATCACCGGTGGGGAGAAAGAGAGATGCGAGATCTAGGGAGGAAGAGAGAATGAGTGAGAAAGGGAGATGATGTTGTCTGGTGCTGCGTCGATCATCGGCAGGGAGGGAGGGAGTTGAGGGATCTGAGGAGGAAGAAAGAGTGTGGAGGAGAGATCTAGGGTTGGTTATGGAATGAGAGTGAGGGGGTGTATATGGTGTTCATTTGGGGTACACTAAGTGGTGTACCCCTAACAGGACCGTTATCCATATCTTAAAAAAATGACTTTTAGTCAAAGTGGAAAGATGAAGACGGAGAGGGAGTACTAATTCTAAGTAACTTAAATAGGAGATGCTAGGGTACCCAACAATATATACAGCACTACAACTAGGAGGGGGGACGAACTACATCTTCTAACCCTCCGCCGTCCGCTAGGGTTGCCGCTGTCCTTCGATCCAAAATTGTAGGCCTCTTCTTCGTCGACCTCCCATCATCGGCGCTTCTCCCACGATCCAAAATCGCTGGTCGCAGTAATTGCTCCTCTTCGTCGACTTCTTTTGCTGCAGTAATCGCAGGCTTCGCAGTAATTTTAAGGCCGGCTGTACCCAACTTTGGGTACAGCCGGTTGTTTAATGTAATTTGCGCATAAATTTGGAACCCCAAGCCGGCGCTAACGAAACCTCACTCGTCTACAGACGCCGTCTCTGCATAAATTTGCCTGGTGAAGAGGTGAGGCTAAGAGCATTTGAATTATTCCTACAAATTGGAGCCACTGACATGGTGAGGGTTATTGGCTCGCCATGAATCTGCATTTCAATTTGGTTTTTTAAAATCATCATTTAGTCTAAACTTTGCTGAATTTGTCTCCATTTTTTGACGTCTCGGCATTTTTGCATTTTTTGGAGCCTCTGCATTTTTGTTTGGAAACTTAAGTTAATTGAATTTGTATTATTTACAGATTAAAGAAATTGGTATTTCAACTTTTTAACATTGGATACTTATATATAGAAAATGAAAGTTAATATGTACATAAATTGAATGATTTTGTATTGGTTGTGTAATTCAAATAAATTGACTCTTTACAGTATGCTTTTTAGTATTGACAATATTTATAATATTTTTTCTACAACTAAAGCCCAATGCCAAGCATGGCCTACCTTTCACTATGAGCTTGGGTAGGTGGTACTGTTCAGTCACTTGTGCTTGATTGTTAGGTTGATTTTACTTTAAATTGTTTCTATACCATTTTCTTCATCATTAATATTTCAGCCAAATCGTTCATTACACTTTTCATGACTCGTTTAGGATGACCAATTCGTGTGGCAGTTGGAGTATTACAGGCGGCACTAGATTACTCTCATGAGATTTTCATATAGCTTTTCAATTTTGAAATGCAATATTTGTACTCACGATAATGTTAACTTTGTTTAAGTGTGTTGCATATTTGCAAACAGAGGAGTTCTTCGGCACTGTTTTTCTTTCCATAGGTCATATATTATGTACCTTGAACATGCCATCTATGCCCCAAATCTACAATTATTTCTTATTTGTAGATTTGGGGCTTGATCATAGCTTAGTCGTTACTCCCAACTCATCTAGTGGTATGACTTCCTCTACAAGCTTGGGTAAGAGGTAGCGTCTGGTTACTAGTACTTATTGGTTTTACACCATTCTCTTCATTATTGATATTTCCCCTACACCATTCATTACACCTTCAGGATAACCAATTCTTGTGGTAGTTGGAGTATTATTACAAGCATGACTAGATTAGTGCTATGACATTTACACATAGGTTTTCAATTTTGAATTGCATTATTTGTATCAAAGATAATGTTAACTTCATTAAATTGTGTTGCAGATTTGCTAACTGGGGACTTCGACACCGATTTCCTTTCCAGAGGTCATATTTTTTTGTACCTCTTGTAATATTTCCGCTGAATGTTTTTGGCATAATTAATTATTGTAAGGGCTGTACCTTAAACACCATGCAGACCTCTAGAGGGGTGAGGGTGTATATAAGGTTCAAAATATTTTTAAAAAATTAGTCGTTATACAATTGGAATTGTCATAGTACTCATATAGGCACAAACTTGTTTGAATAAATTAGGCCAAACTCGATGCCTCAAAGATAAGGAATTATGTGAATAGTTTCAAATTTATCCAAACAAGTTAGGCCCATACGCAGGTAGAATAACCAAAGCTTATTCGTATAGATTAGTATTTGTTTGAATAAGTCAGGCCTTATTTGATGTATTATAATAGAAAATAAACTATTCGAGTTGAAACTGCTTCAAACATTTAGAGATGCTTTTTGAAAACAAATTTAGACTAGGAGAATTAAACATGTGCCATACACTCAGCTTTAACAATAAACCAAGGCTAAGAAAAGTTAAATGAAATCCAAAGCTAGTTGTTAAGTCTTCAATTCCAGTCCCATAATACGTTTGTCATCATCAAAACACAAGGGACAACACATGTGGAAAGCTCAGGTTAGAGTAGGTTTGTAGGCTAGGTGGTAGTTGATGCATTCTTTGTTGTGTGCATTGTAAGTTTGGTTTTTAATATTTTGCTCTCTTGTACTTAGTTGGAATTATCATTGAGGGTTCACTTTATTGAGAAAGGTGTTTCTTCAAAATCGTTACCTTAAAGAGAAAATTCTTGATCTGCTTTATATACATATTTGAATTATGGCAATTTAGTGACTAAACCACTACTCTCTAGTCAGTGTCATGATTATCTCAAAATATTAGTATGTTTGGAAACTCTGGGTTTGCCAAAAGAGGTATTAATTGATTCGCAATTTAAGTTGTCATCCACCACTTTAAATTGGTGGTTGATGTGAGTTGATCCGTCCACCATTACCCTTCTTGTTATTCCAAAATTCAAAACTGTTAATTTTTTTAATGTTGTAATAAATGTTTTTCTATTCATTCACAAAACATGAATAGGTTGAGTGTAGTTGATCTGTCTTACTTTCTTTAGGCAAAACAACAGAATGAGTTTGTTATTCGGTCCTTGAGAAAGGTTACAGCAAAATTGATGTGTCACTTGATGTTGTAGACGAATAACAACATTCGGTAATTTTGAGTTACCCCAGGTCTCAAGACGGAGAATGCAAAGGACAACATCTGTTTCAATGATGAAAAGGTTGTGCATATAACATGTGTGAGTGTCATTCAGATTGCTTTTATTGCTGATGCTTTTGGGTTTTGGGTTGAACTCGAACGTGAAATTCAATGATTAATAGGTTTGATAACTAATTTATTCTATGGAAAATAAAATCGCAAAGATATTCCTTTCATGTCTTTTTACTTATTTCAAGTGATGAGTAACTTTGAATTCTGGATTTGTAATTTTGAGTACCTGTTGAATCATCCGGTATTGTAGTCACCTGCTAGGTGCGATGTGTTTTGTCAAATTCAAAATAATGCAATTTATGGAATGCCAAATTAAAAGCATTGTAATTTAATGACGAAGTTTAAAAATATGTTGTATGTTCATGCCGATTAGATTAACTACTTGAAGAAGGCTTGTAATGTGATTAATAATAATGCTATTTATATGCAGAATTGGAAAAAAGTCTTCATGTGCGCCATCTTCAATAGGATAGTAGAATAAGTGGTGGACAGATCCAAGTTTATTATCAAGGTTCATGGATATCATGGATCCCTGTTAGAAAAAAGAGATATAATAACCTTAATGTAATACCTAAAAAAATGGTTGGTGCATATTTTCGAAGTTTTTGTAGATGATACTTGAATCACTGCTGGAGATGATGAAGACTTGGGGGAAAAGACTATTTGAATAGTTGGGGGAGATGTTGAGGTTTTTGTCAGTCGGATATGGGAGCGTGTCAGTTTTACTTTTCCTAGTTTAATTATTGATGGACATGTTGAATTCAAGATCGATTGTTCATGGATACGCACAAAAGAAATTAAGATATGGTTGCTTTAGGGAGGACCCATAGGTGTTCTGCTTTGGACAAAAGACCTATTTTCTCACTTACCATCCAAGGACAACAATGAAGATAGCAAACTATAACAGATACTATTTTGTTACTTTTCCCCGTTTATTTTTGTCGAGCATCGTTGATTTTTTTTCATCTTTGGTCATCGACATTGGTGCAATTGAGGTATGTCTATTTTCTTCTATATTAATTTTATTTCTAATTGAACTCTATATTTGAGCTATTCATTCATTGTATTCATTTATTGGATAATTATCATATTCCTAAGTTATATACACAACATTTAGTTTTAAGCATGTTTTATGTTTTTGTTATGGTTTGGATTATATGTGTTGCCAATCATGCTTCACTTTCAACACATATGATCCAAACCATAATAAAAACATAAAACGTACTTAAAATTAAATATTTTGTATTTGTAAATTTAGAATATGATATCAATACGATGAATAGATAACTCAAATATAGAGATCAATCAGAAATAAAATTGGGTAGAAGAAAAGAGACATACCTCAATAATACCAATCTCAATGACCTAAGATGAAAAAAATTAATGATGTTTGACAAAAATAAACTGGGAAAAGTAACAAAATAGTATCTGCTATTGTTTCACTATCTTCATTGTTGTTCTCGATGGTAAGTGAGAAAACATATCCCTCATCAAGAGCAGAATGACGTTGAGCCGGATGTCTCTTTGGAAACAACCCCTCTACTTTCGAGTAGGGGTAAGGTCTGCGTACACACACCCTCCCCAGACCCTACTCTTGTGGGATTTAACTGAGTTGTTACTGTTGTTGTATTGAACATGTCCATCAACAATTCTACTAGGAAAAGTAAAACTGACAAGTTCCCATACCCCACGAAAAAAACCTCAACATCTCCCCTAGCCATTTTAATAGTCTTTTCCCCAAGTCTTCATCGTCTCTCGCAGCGATTCAAGTACTATCTACAAAAACATCGAAATATCCACTAACCATTCTTTTAGGTATTACATTAAGATTACCATATCTCTTTTTTCTAATAGGAATCCATGAACTTTGATCATAAACTTTCATCTATCCACCACAAATTCTACTATATTGGCAAAGACTGCACGTGAAAACGTTTTTCCAAATTCTGCATATAAAGGCACCATTATTGATCACATTACAAGTCTTATTCAAGTAGTTAATCCAATTGGCATGAACATACAACATACTCCCTCCGTCCAAAAAAGAAGTTCCCGGTTTGACCCGGCACGCACTTTAAGAAAAGTTGAAATTGTCTTTGACTTTCCCATATTACCCTTATGCCTACTCTCTTCCGATCCTCAATCCTCACTTCCTTCTGTGAACCCTCATACATCTCCTTCAACCATTATTACCACAAAAATTAACTTTCTTACACATAAAATTAAATTGAGGAATTGGGGAAATCTGGGAAATTTATAGTTAGAACTATGAACAAATATGGGAAGCTTTGGGAAAAAAGAAAAATTAAATGGGCGGAGGTGATGGAGATTATACTACATTAGACCTGTCCGGATCCGGCCGCCACACACCTCCGACCACCGCCTCGGTTTTCCGGTGCTCCCAATCTTGGGTGACGG